ACGGGTGTCTCCAGCACAGAAATTCTCCCACTGCAGACACAGCTTATTCTCACAGCCAATTGGCCTGGAGGTCAATTCCTCCCAGTGATACCTACAACAATCAAGGCTTAACTACAACAAGACTGTGCACAAAGCCCACAAGGGGGTTCACCAAGAGTGTCCTCCTCAGGTAATTGGGGAGGCTGAACCACTGGGCCCTAGAGGACACTTAGCACAGAAAACCGCTTTATCAACACAGGGAAGCATAAAAAAAGTGGAGACAAAGAAAAAGGACACAAATGACAGAAATGGAGGAAAGCAAACTACTAGATATAGAGTTCAAAACCACGGTTATAAGGTTTTTCAAGAATTTTCTAGAAACTGCCGATACACTTGATGCGACCTACAAGAAATCTAATGAGATCCTCGAGGTTGTGATAAAGGACCAACTAGAAATTAAGCATACACTGACTGAAATAAAGAATAGAGAAAGAGAGAAAGAAAGTCAGTTACCTACAAGGGAGTACCCATACAACTGTCAGCTGATTTCTCAACAGAAACTTTGCAGGCCAGAAGGGAGTGGCAAGAAATATTCAAAGTGATGAATGCCAAGAACCTACAACCAAGATTACTTTATCCAGCAAAGCTATCATTCAGAATTGAAGGTCAGATAAAGAGCTTCACAGATAAGAAAAAGCTAAAGGAGTTCATCACCACCAAACCAGTATTATATGAAATGCTGAAAGGTATCCTTTAAGAAGAGGAAGAAGAAGAAAAAGGTAAAGATACAAATTATGAACAACAAATACACATCTATCAACAAGTGATTCTGAAAATCAAGTGAATAATCTGATGAACAGAATGAACTGGTGATTATAATAGAATCAGAGGCATAGAAAGGGAGTGGACTGACTATTCTTGGGGGTAAAGGGGTGAGGGGGATGCGGGAAGAGACTGGACAAAAATCGTGCACCTATGGATGAGGACAGTGGGTGGGGAGTGAGGGCAGAGGGTGGGGTGAGAACTGGGTGGTGGGGAGTTATGGGGGAAAAAAGAGGAACAACTGTAATAATCTGAACAATAAAGATTTAATTTTTAAAAATGCAAAAGACGTGGGGGCTTGAATGGATAATAACATAAGACCCTCACAACATGCTATCTATTGGAGACTCATTTCAGATCAAAAGACAAACAGACTGAAAGTAATGAAAAAAATGTTTCATGAAAATGGAAATAAAAAGAAAATCCTGGGGTAGCTATACTTATATCATACAAAATAGACTTTTAGACAAAGGCTATAACAAGAGGTAAAAAGGGACCCAGCAATTCCACTTATTTATCCAAAGATACCCAAAACAGTAAAGCAAAAAGACATATTCATTGATATGCGCATTGCAGCATTATTTACAACTAGAGGCCCAGTGCATGAAATATGTGCATCGGTAAGGTCCCTAGCAGTCGCCGGCTGCCAACTGGGGCCTCCCTTACTGCAATTGGCCAGCCAGACCTGACCCCCGGTCAAACTCCTGGTCAAGGGGACAATTTGCATATTAGGCTTTTATTATATAGAATAACTAAGACATAGAAGCCATTAAAAAAATGAAATCTTATCATCTGCAACATCGATGAACTTAGAGGTACTATGCTAAGTGAAATAAATCAGACAGAGAAAGACAAATAACATTTGATTTCACTTATATGTGAAAACTAAAAAAATTAAATAAATGAATAAGTGGACCACATAGATACAGAGAACATTTTGATGGTTGTCAGATGGGAGGGGGCTTGGCAGGATGGGTGAAGAGATTAAGAAGTACAAATTGAGGAAAAATGTGAATTCTGGTGGCCTAGAAACATGAGGGTCAAGTGACACAACCAGCTGACTCCTGTAGAGGAAGACGCTGTGGCTGGGTCTGTTGCAACCACAACTGCCAGGCTGGGAACCAGAGCCCAACAGTCATCATCGTAAGAATGTCGGGCAAAGACCGAATTTAAATCTTTCCCTGTCAAATGGCACAGACCATCATGAAGGCCCGATTAAAAGGAGCACAGGCAGGTTGAAACCTGAAGAAAAAATCTGATGCTTTAACTCTTCGATTTCTGCAGATCCCAAAGAAGATCATAGAGACTAAAATGTTGATGGGTGAAGTGATGAGAGAAGCTGCCTTTTCATTTCCTGAGGCCCTGTTCACAGCAGAGAACTCAGCACCAGTTATTCAAAATGTAAATAAAGCCCAAGTGAAGATTCAAGCAAAGAAAGATAGTGTAGCAGGTGTTACTTTGCCAGTGTTTGAACATTATCATGAAGGAACTGACAGTTATGAACTGTCTGGTTTAGCCAGAGAAGGGGAACAACGGGCTAAATTAAAGAGAATTATGCTGGAATTCGCCTCGCTGCAGACTTCCTTTGTTACTCAAAATACACGAAGCTGTTAAGATAACAACAGTCATGTAAATGCCATTGAACATGTCATCATTCCCAGGATGGAACATACCCTTGCTTATATCATCACAGAGCTGGATGAGAGAGAGTGAGAAGAGTTCTATAGGTTAATGAAAATACAGGAGGAAAAAAAAAGATTCTTAAGGAAAAAACTGAGAGGGACTTGAAGAAAGGGAGGGGAGCTGGAGAGGTGATGGAGCCTGCCAATCTTCTGGCTGAAGAGAAGAATGCGGATCTTCTGTTAGAATAATTTTTCCTGCTCTGCTTCTTTCCGAAGTCCTAAATTTAATGACACCATTTTAGTTCAGTGTGTAGGTTTGGTTCATGTGGCTATTTATTGTTTGGCCTAATTTCACTGGTGGTAAAAATTTCCCTGCATGTCCATTTAACCCAGTGGTTCTCAACATTCCTAATGCCGTGACCCTTTAATACAGTTCCTCATGTTGTGGTGACCCCCAACCATAAAATTATTTTTGTTGCTACTTCATAACTGTAATTTTGCTACTGCTATGAATTGTAATGTAAATATCTGATATGCTATATGTGTTTTGCGATGATCGCGACCCACAGGTTGAGAACTGCTGAATGGGATTACTTTTGCAGAATCCTAATTTACCAACCATTGATCACAGATGAGATTTAGAGAACCTGCCCAGGAACTTGTAGAATTTATTCTGCAGAAGTGTCTCCCTACCCCAGTTAAGAATGGTTAAAAGTGATCAGCTTACCAAGCATATTAGGAAATTCCCCTTAGTAACCAGTAGTGGTCTCAGGCCAATATGAGTAGGCCAGCTACTGTAGGAGCTCCCTCCATTCCTCCCATTCACACCCCCTGGCACTGTTATCGGAGGGAGCTGCAGCCATCCTGTGTTTCTGTGGTACTTCTCCAGCTTTAGGAAAGCCTTCACTTAATTTTCCTTTCATGACAGGTCTCTGCTCTCTGTCATGGAACAATTTTGCCAATTTGAATGTGACTGTGGTATAAATAGTAAAATGATTTTTTTAAAAAGAAGTTCAAATTGATAGTTACAAAATAATCATGGTGATGTAAAATACAGCATAGGGAATATAGTCAATGATATTGTAATAACTATGTATAGCATCAGATGGGTACTAGATTTATTGGGGGCACACTTTGTAAGTTATATAAACATTTAATCACTGGGTTGGACACCTGAAACCCTGAAACTAATATAACATTGCATGTAAATTGTAATTGAAAAGTAAAAATTATTTCAAAATAAATAAACATACAGTATGGTCTTAATGATTCAAGAAATTATATATATATATATATATATATATATATATATATATATATTAATAGGTAATTAAAATTTCCTTCTCTAAATGTTGTAATGTCTTCTAATTTTTTACAATAAGCACATATTATTTATAAGCAGTACAAACATTTTCACATATGAAAAAGAAACAATCTCAGTAATACAAAAGCCAAACATGATTGGGGGAGAGGGGAGAACCACAGAAGGATAATGTCAGAAATTCAAAATGGCAACAAAAAATGGGTATTTGTGAGATAGAAAAAAAGCAATAAATGAGGAAAAGGAGAATATACAGGTCTGCAGCATAAGGACAACATTTCAGCAGTGCCTTCAGGGGCCGATGTGTCATGCTAAGGCCACATAGGACACCACACACCTCTGAGATTAACTAATTTTCTTCCTGAAGGAGAAACAATTCAGCTGCCTCCAGTACATCTTCGGACCACATAGAGGTGGCCTTTGGCTTCTCTAGTTTCATTACAATTCAAATGGATAGTTGCGGCTTTAGAAATAGTACAGCCATGTGTTCAGAAAATGAAAGGAAAATGCTTCAACATAGACAAGCCATATTCCTTAAAATTACTGTACCACTAGAATAATACAGTCAATGAAATTGCAGATCATGTAATAATAATAATAATAATCCCAGAAAGTGAATTGATATCACCACAGGACCCTGACTTAGAAGTTACCATGTCCAATGTCCAACAGTTTAATAAAGATCATCTGGGGAAAACACAATGGGAGTGGGGAACAAGGAGGAAACTGATCACTGGTTTAGAAAATGAGAATTTCCAGGAGCCAGTAATTAGTGTTTGGGCTATGAAATAAAAGTAAAGGAACTTGTTATAAAAAATGATGGGACAGTAAAGGAAGTTGAAATGTCTATTCCTTCGCATATGTGACAAACTATTCCAGAGAAAAATAATGAATGATATTTCTCTGCAACATTTGCTCAAAAAGAAAATTCTAAAACTTTTTAAAAACATTATATTTTATGTTTTAAACACGTAGGATGATCTTGCAAATATTTCCTTGAAATACTTTCTGCTACAACCTAAAACCAGGTCTAATTCTCCCAAACTCCGAAGTTTAATGCGTCCCGTGCTCCTCAAATTTGATTGTGTACATAAATCACTTGGGGAGCTAAATGCAGATTCCTGTTCAGTAGGTCCAGGGGCCCAAGATTCTGAATTTCTATCAATCTCCACATGATCTGGAGGACCTCACTTTGGGTGGCAAGGATTGAGACTGTCCCCACTTCTCGTGTCTTTGGATTCACCCAGGATAGGCACCTGACTCAGGCAGATCAGGGTGTTCCCCTGGCTGCAGATGACTCCTCGGGATGGCCACTTGACTCAGAACAAGCTCATCAGAGCTCTTCTCCAGGACTTTTGAACCCGAAGTAGGGAGGATGATTAATGTCTCCGTGGCAGCAAAGTTATCTGTTGTGAGGCTCAGGACTGGTCTCTGTCCATTTTTTTCCTGCTGAAAGTGAGAAGGTGGTATGAGATGATAAGGCCAACAGGCCAAGAAATGAGCATATTCACATCCTTAGCATTCCCAGCTCTAGGGCCAACTTCACCTTTGCAGTGTAATGTGAGTTTTGCCCAATAGCCTTCCAATAAATAAGTAAATAAATATGCAAATAATTTATTTGAATTGGTTTTCTGTCACATGCAACCAGAGTGCTGCTTAAAGTACTCATGAGCCTAGAACATAATATTTGTTGACATGGATGCCTTTAGTCATTGTATTTTATTGTATGACAGGCATCATGCTGAAGACTGGGACCACATAGTCCCTGCTCTTCCAGTGACCTACAGTTTAGTCAAGGAAACAGACAAAGTAATTTGATGTGATGAGATGTGATATCATATACATAATTATAGGAGAATAAGGGAGAAAGCACTATGGAAGATATTACACCTTATATAAGTCTTGAAGGACAAGTAGAAAAGAAAGAAGGAAATTCTAGTCAAAAATTGCCAATAGACAAAGGCATAATGTTCCGTTTGGAAAAACGTGAACCTTCTGTTTGCCTAAGGCAGGAATTGTAGAGGGCAGGTGGCTGTATTGGGAGGCAATGGGGAAGTACCTAAGCTACAAAGCAAGGAAGGTCCTGAATAAAAGATTTAGGACTTTACCCTATGGGGGGGATAATAGTAAAAAACCTACAGCAGTACAATTTCATGCTGTAGAATATATTGGGATCTATCAGAATAGAAATAAGGAGTTCTATAAAAACAGAGATTGCAGTCTTTGAGTTAATCAGTTATTGTGTAAAGTTATAATGAGGTAAAATAAAATTAGGGTCAACTGATTTTTTTCTTTTTTACTACTTACTGTTACAAGTATCCTATCTTTGTTACATTTCTTTACACATATGTAATGCAGGAATTGTTATAACATTACCATTTTACATATGTCTCTAAGGACAGCATATTATTTCATCTTTTCAAAATGTAAGCTGAGATTCTGTCTTACCAAAAGAGTTAACCAATTCACACAGGTTTAATGATTTTTTAGAAATTATTTGCCATCTTTTTCCATTTCACATATTTTTTTTGTGTGTCTTCTGTTCCCCTCCTTTCCTAACTTCCATCGAATAGATTAAATTTGACACTGCTGGTTTAAAAATTACACATTATGATTTTTGTCTTCTGATCATTATCTCAACTTATTAAGATCCATTCTTATATGTACTATTTATTTATTTATTTATTTCCCATGGTAATAGAATTCAAACACTTAACTATATTCCCTTTATCCCCTTCACTTCCAATAGAATTGCCTTAGAAAGCCCTCATCTCTAACTGGATTCTAACACCATCCTCCCTCATATTGGCATTTTCTAGTTTAAATTGTGAATTAATAAATGTTTGTTGTTTTATTTATTGATTATTTAGATAATAAATTTTACTAAATTATTTATTTCTCATATCTTATTATTTTTTATTTATTTTGCTTCTTGCTGGAGGATTTCCTTCAAGAGTGTTTTTAGAGTGTGTATTAGATGGTCTGAGGCTAACCTGAAATATTAAGTTTAACTTTTTTCTTTCAACACTTGGAAAATATTATTCCATTTCTTCTTTCACCTAGGGTGGTTGGTGAGGAGTCTGGGCTGGATGTGTACTTGGTCATCATCAGTGTACAGAGGAGAAGTAAAACCATACGTAAGAGTGAGATCCCCATATGGAACATAGAGAGAAAGAAGAGAAGGGAGCCAAAAATGAACTCTTGGGAAGAGTCTACCAGGGGTGGGCAAACTTTTTGACTCAAGGGGCACAATGGGTTCTTAAACTGGACCGGAGGGCCGGAACAAAAGCATGGATGGAGTGTTTGTGTGAACTATTATAAATTCAAAGTAAACATCATTACATAAAAGGGTACGGTCTTTTTTTTTTTTTTTTTAGTTTTATTCATTTCAAATGGGCAGGATCTGGCCCGCGGGCCGTAGTTTGCCCACGGCTGGTACACTCAAATGAGGGATAAAGAAAGAGGCATTGTGAACTAGACTGAGAAGGAACAGCCAGAGATTTACAAAGATCATCGGGAGTCTGTCTTGTAAACCAAGAAAAAAGGCAGTTTCAAAGAAGAGGGAATGATCAACATCAAATGTTACAAAGAGGTCAAGTAAGATGAAATACTCCAAACTGGTCACTGCATGAAACACTATATCTAAGTTACTAGATTCTCTTTTTTAAAATGAAAAGGGATTGGAGTAGGAAGGCAGTAGAGAGGGAGATACAGAAAAGAGAGTGGACAAATGGTGGATACAAGTCACTAGTAGCAAGGAAAGAGAAACTGGTTTCCAGATCTACCTCTACAAGGCAGGACAGGAGGCTTAGCACAAGGAAGCTAGGATAGATTAAACACAGGGACAGAGAGATCCAAATGCGAAGGAGGAGGAAATGAAGTCTCACCCAATGAATCCCAACCTATCTATACCCCAGGTTCTGTGTTAATGGTGAAAGAAGTCAGTCAGAGAAAGACAAGTATCACGTGATCTCACTTATATGTGGAACTGAATGAACAAAATAAATTGACAAACAAAATAGATCCAGAGACATCAAAGCATGCAACAGACTAAGGATCCTCAGAGGAAAGTGTGTGTGTGGGGGGGGGGGGGCGGGGGGGGGAGTGGGGAGGGAGCGGAAAGATCAACCAAAGAACTTACATGCATATATGTATCACCCATGGACACAGATAATAGTGGGGTGAAGGCCTGGGGAGAGGACAGGAGTGGAGGGAAAAGGGGGACATCTGTAATACTTTAACAAGAAAAAATTTTAAAACTAGTTAATAACTCATAATAGAATTCAGTGTTGCCTTCAGAAAATTACATAAGGATGAGTAACTCCTTTGCAATTCAAAAAGAAGCTTTCATCTTTTAAAATGAAAATATCCCAAATATTTTTCCATGAAATCATAGACCATATCCCTGCCTCAATAATACTAATCCAAATCTTCTTCTCATAAGAAAAAAAATTGGCTATTATTACTCTACTAGAGGCTCGGTGCACAAAAATTTGTGCACTTGGGGCGGAAGGGAGTCCCTCAGCCTGGCCTGTGCCCTCTCCCAGTCTGGGACCCCTTGGGAGATAACGCCCTGCTGGCTTAGGCCTTCTCCCGAGTGGCAGAGGGCAGGCCCAATCCCTAGGTGCAACCCCTGGTCGGGCTCAGAGCAGGGCCGATTGGGCAGTTGGGGCGCCGCCCCCTGTCATGCACAGAGCAGGGCGGATCGGGAGGTTGTGATGCCACCCTCAGTCACAGTCAGGGTAGGGCCGATTGGGGGGTTGGGGCACTGCCCCCGTCACACTCAAGGCAGGGTCGATGGGGAGGTTGTGGCGCCACCCCCTGTCACGCACAGAGCAGGGCCAATCAGGGGGTTGGGGCGCCACCCGCTATCACCCACAGAGCAGGGCCAATCAGGGGGTTGGGGCACCGCCACTCTCACACTCAGGGCAGGGCCAATGGGGTGGTTATGGCTCTACCCTGTTACACACAGAGCAGGGCCCATGGGAAGGGGGGGGATGGGGCACCACACCCTGTCACACAGAGAGCAGGGCCGATCAGGGGGTTGGGGTGCCGCACTCTGTCATACACAGAGCCTCAGGGCGATCAGGGGTTGGGGAGCTCCCCCAATCAGGCACAGAGCAGGGCTGATCAGGGGGTTGGGGCGCCTTCCCCTGTCACAAACAGAGCAGGGCGGATAGGGAGGTTGTGGCCCCGCCCCCTCTCACACACAGAGCCGCAGGGTGATCAGGGGGTTTGGGCGCTGCCCCCTGTCACGCTGATCCTGGTGCCGGGAGGCCTCTCAGCTCCGCTGATCCCGGTGCTGGGAGGCATATTACCCTTTTACTATATAGGATAGAGGCCTGGTGCACGGGTGGGGGCCGGCTGGTTTGCCCTAAAGGGTGTCCTGGATCAGGGTGGAGGTCCCCACTGGGGTGCCTGGCCAGCCTGGGTGAGGGGATGATGGCTGTTTGCAGCTGGTCACACCCCCTTCAGGATGGGGGTCCCCACTGGGGTGCCTGGCCAGACTAGATGAGGGGCTGAGGCCTGTTTTCAGGCTGGCGGGTGACTGAAGCTCCCAACTGCTCCTTTTTTTCTTTTTTCTTTTATTCTGGGCCAGCTTTAGCTCTGGCTCCAGCTCTGAGGCCTCTGCTGCTGAAAGCAGGTATCTGGTTTGTTTGGGTTCTATAATCAAAACACTCTATCAACTCCAGCTCTGAGATCTTGACTCGCTGAAAGCAGGTTTCTGGGGTTTTGTTCAGCTTCTATATTTGTTACAATGTTTCAAACTGCAGGCTCAGAGGCCGGCAAGGCAGGCGGGGAACGTTGGTTTCCTCCGTCACTGAAGCAAGCAAGCCTCATGTTAGTTTCAAGCTGCCTGGCTGCCGGCGGCCATCTGGGCTGGCAGTTAATTTGCATATTTCCCTGAATAGCCAATGGAAGGGTAGCGGTCATACACTAATTACCATGTTTCTCTTTTATTAAATAGGATTAGCATGTTAAGGACCCACGATTTAAAAGTCCCATGATGAGACCTCTGTGTTGCCATAGTAATCAGAAGTCTGACCTGCCCTGCAGAATTCAGAGTTATTCAGCTAAATTCTTGGAGAAGAGAAGAATCTGAGATGAGATGTTAAAAAGAAAAAAACCATAACATTAATATCCCATTTTCCTGACTTGCCATATTCATTCTCTCTGTGCAGAATACAAGATGCTTCTCCCATTGATAAATTTAACATGGGAAAGGACAAATCTCATTTTTTTGTGGCTTTTGAAAAAGTGTTACTCATTCAGCTGTGAACTCCACCCTTCCTTATCACAGCAATAAAACATCCATTTGAGACAGAAAGAAAGTATCCTATTTGAATTTTTAGTTTAAAGATATTTTCTTCCTATGATTCTATTTTTTTTTTGGTTAGTTCTCTTTTGAGTTTCTAATGAGTTCTGGCTAATTTTGCTT